TTTTTTTCTAAACACTGGCATTTTCAACTCCCATCCACCTGAAGCTCTTCAGATTTTCTGTATTTCCACATAAGCAGTTGCATAGGTTTTTATGTCTTTAAACATTATGTAATATGATTTTATGCACTGTCAACATTTTTCAAATATTGGGATTTTCATTATGTGAATTTGAACTCTCATGGCCCAGAAACTGTAATCTTATTGCAGGGGTGGATTGAGGCCGTCTTCTGGGTCTTTCAGATGACGGTCAGATTTTAAAGTTTACATTGACTGGTATCAATTTTTTTCTGTTGGAAGACCATCAAAAGTGGAGGATGGATCAACAAAGATACTTTGGAATACTGTCAGAAAATATCTCTGGATCTGCTCCTGTTATTGACCATGTTACCTGTTGTGCATGATTAAAATTCAGTGTTGATTGACAGTGCTATTATAAGCATTATTTATTATTGCATCAAAATTGACAAAATGACCCATTTTGCATCTTTATTTTCTGTTTTTTGTCTGTACATTTGACAGCTTTGCTGCCTTGTTTAAAATCATGCTTAATCAAATTTACCCAAATATTAGCTGTTTGATCATATCAAACTTCTCATTACTGTTATGTGCAAAAAAAAATTGGATTAATAAAATAAAAAAAATAAAGTAACATAACATAATATTCATTTCCTCCAGTAAATATAACTAGATTTTACATTACATATATATGATATATTAGTTGTATTAATTGGCTATGTACTTTCTAATTAATACTCCTGCCCTTTAATACATATATCTAAAAAATATATATTTAATCAAATGTGATTACATCGATCTTGTAATCATTACCTTATTTCAAGATAAAAATTTATGAATCCATTAAAATATGTTTAAGCATACATACCTGTATATACTGTTTCTATTCATCAGTTGCCATTCAGTTAAAAATTAAGCACAAATAATCATTTATATGTTGTATAAAGCAACAAAACATATTTTACTTAATAAAAAAAATGTTGATAATTTGTTTAATTATATATATCTCTATCATACAATAAAACTATCAATTAGACTACTCATTCTATTAGTAACACTTAAGCATCTTCAGTTCATTTTGTTGAATTGTACCATTTAAAATATATTATCTGTTACTGATCAAGGATATTTTAATCTAATAATACTTCCCATTTCATTAACATTTTTATGATTTCTGTTGCAAACAAAAAATGAAAATTATATATATATATATATATATATATAAACATACAAGTGAAAATACATGCAAAGATATGAGGGTAAATTTAAAAACATGCTTGTTATAACATTAATAAGTTCATTAAGTTCTATTTAAACTGAATAATAAAAACCATTTAATATTGGCACAATGCTAATTTCTCTCCTCCCTTTATAAAAAAGTAGATTAAATCAAGGATAAACCAAAAATTGATCATGCAGAAAAATGATTCTGGCATCAAAATTTTCTTGTAGTATTTTCATCATTTTAAAATATTTCCAGCACTTTATTTGAACCTTAACTGGTAAGTTAATAGCCTTTTGTTGACCTGATTGATAATTTCTACATCTCACCATTCAAAATGAATTGTTGGGAAAACAGCCTAATTGGTGAGATAAACACTTGTCAATATGGTTTCATAGGTGACATTGTAATCGTTTGGACAATATGATAATGTTTTGATGGGAAAAATAATGAACTGCTCTTCTGTAACCAATTCAATAGCAAGAAAATTCTTTGAACTTTTCTTCTTTTTAATCAGTCAAAAGACCCTATAGATGCATCTCATTGAGCTATTATAGGTAGTTTAAACATTTACACTTTCACTAACATTGCTGAAATAGTGTATACAAACAGCTGCTCATATATACCTATAACTGAAATATTTAGGCTTCAGAATCTCCCCCGAGCACAGCCGAGAATTAATTACAGCTTTGGAAACGACTCGCTCAGGCTGCTAGTTAATTATGCCCCGGGGTATTCAGGGCACAATAGATACCACCAATGGGTTTTTGGATTTTTAAAATTTAGATTTTTCATGTTAATAGTGCCTTTGACCAAATTAACTTGGTGACAAGTAACTGCATGGTGATGATTACAGTGACAGGAACTGTCAGCTGATTAAAATAAAGTCAAACTTCCTCCACTTGCCCCATGCGATTTTGTTTATTCAGATCATCAACAATAGCATCCACTTGATGCAGGTTATCTGAGTCTATCTTTACATCTGGGCTTAAGAAATTGAGCAACTCGGCAACATTCCGTCTAAGGTTATATAAATCCCGTTTTAAATTGTCAATTTCTTCCAGATAACCTGATCCTAATTCAGTTGGATTTTGTGCACCATTTGAGCCAGCATATGTTGTAGTAACACCTGTTTGATTACATGGCTTAACATCTTGAGGTTCCCGTTCTATTTTAGGAATCTTGGAAACGGGTAAATTGTCTCCATCATCAGAAGTCATAATAATGGCATCAGAATGTTCACCTTCATGACGTTTCCTTTTACTGGGTGGTCTAGCAGGTGCTTTGGAAGTAATGTTTACACCATATGTTTTTTTTTTATCACTTGACTCATTCCTACACAATATAACAATATAATCATCTTCAATATCGTAAACTTTTACATTACCATTTAATTCAAAAATTAAATTAGATTTATTGAAATTTAATTGAAATTCTATGGAGTTCCTAATACAAACACTAGTGGGCTGGATTTGGTCTTAAAGTGCAATTTAAGTTCACAAGTGATCTTACACGATCTTAAACATTACAGCAGTAGTCTTAAAATGGACTGAATCTGCTTTTGAGATCAAAAATGATCTAACATCTACTTAAGTGGTCAAGCAGTTTCCTCCCCTCACAATGGGGGATACCTCCCCTAACAATAGAGGACACCTCTGCTCACAATAGGAGAATGTGTAAGGGGAGACAACTTAATTGGCTGTTAGACCAGAAATAGTCTTACTCATGTTTTAAGATCATGTAAGACTATTTGTGAACTTAAATTGCACTTTAAGACCAAATCAAGCCCACTAGTGAAATGAGAGGTCATAAGAGATTTCCGTTTTTGCGAGAGCACATGGGCTCGAGTGATCAGCACTGCAACTCAGAAATTTGTTGCAATTATAATACCACTATGCAACAAAAGAAATATAAATTCCTTATATTTTATCTTTCTCCTTCTCAACCAGTTAAAACTAAATAACTGGTTATGATTTGATATGATAACATAATTATATATCATAGGTGCATTATAAATATCACCCATAAAAATGGTTTTACATGTTTCTACGTAAACAAGGCACTGCCCCCCCCCCCTTTTTGCTGTGGAATAGGGGAGGTGGGTGGGCATATGACCTCATTTGTATTGGAGACTCCATTGAATTTCAATTAAATTTCAATAAATCTCATTTAATTTTTTAATTCTATTTTGCTTCTGTACAAGACGAGATTCCCGTTTTATGCGAGAGTATATGCGCACTTGCGCATATCTTCACAGTTCAAAGCTTGCTTTTCTGATTATTCAAACTGCTTCAGAAAATTCTTTCCCTTTAATAGGTTTATTGTAGTACTAAGCAAGCTTTGTTTGAAGACCATCCAACTGCTTTCAAAATATCACCTACTGGAATTTATGCTCTTTCTGCTACTGACACTGCTGCAGCTCGGGTTGAATGACCCTTAAATGATTCTTATACACATGCTTGGTGCATCAATATCCGAATCCATCTTGATATTGCATCTCTTGAAAAGGATGAAAAGAGCTTTCTATAACTAATAAAATTTTCTTGTCCATTTATTAATGGTCAATGTACACAATCCCCTATTTGGGGGGTACCATAAAAATCGTAAAGTTGTTGTACCAACACCTGGTCTTGTACTACGTTTTAAAAGTTTCTTTGATTTTAAATAAAACATTTTTCAGAATTTATTTCAAATCCCAAAAATACAATTTCTTGAGTTGGGATTAATACAGAACGTCAAGGTGGGAATTTGGGCTATTTTCGACCTTATCAGCCATAGTATTCATTGAATTTTGTTTCACTCTCTGGCCACAGGTGCTGTGCTCGCTCGACAAAAAAAAACAAGATAAGATATGCGCAAGTGCATGTATGCTCTCGCATAAAACTGAATCTCATATGACCTCATTTGTATAGAAATGAAATAAAATCTGAGTTTTCTATTATTTTGTGAGATAAAAAGGATAAATCCAGATCGTTAATTTAATATAATTAATTATCATATGCCTTACTAAAAAAATCAAAGTTATGCCAGGAAAGAAAATCTGTTAGCTTTAGTAATGAAATCAATATGTCAGTTTTACCACAAATATAACTAATGGTCTAATTAGCATCATCACTTGAAAGAAACAATAACATAACAATGTTCTGTAGGCTTCATTTGTTGCCTGCCAGCATTACCTAGAGGATACACTGGGTTGGTCACTGGTGCTGGCAAGTAATGCCTGGAACACAATTAAAAACAGATCTAAATAAATACTACAGTGGAATAAAGGTGTCCTTTGGATTTTTTGATAACACATTGGTAACTAATAACTATATCTGATACACAAGACTTGGAAAAGAAAGTGACACATCTGAACAATAAATATTTCACTGAAACTTCACAATCTATTCACCTTAGTATGGATTGGTATATTTAAATCACCCTAATATCATGGACACCTTTATAAATGCATTATAACAAAATCATCAAACAACACTAGATTCAAAATCCATCACAACTAGAGGATCAGAGAGGCGATATGGCCTCCGAATATTGTACCACCAGCTGGAGTAAGCGCATTCGTATTGACCCCCCCCCCCCACACAAAAAAAAGGGACACCACCACCAGTCTTGTGCTTGACAAGCTGTAAAAATGCAATCAACAAGAATTTTCAAAATATGCAAAAAAATATNCATCTGTGTCTGTACATAAAAAGGTCAGTTGCCGGTATAACTTCTCATTTCGTATCTAAGGCAATGTGTTTTATTAACATTTTATTTCTCTTTACACAAGCTGCTCTATAACTTACAGATTGGGGTTGTTATTTGAATAATCAGTTGGGTGTTATTTACAATTTTCCATAATAACGGTTTCAGGTCATCGCAGAGTGTAACAAGTTATCTCCGGCACCTGAGCCAAACCATGTGTACACAGTAGCTGATCTGAGAGACATGCAGGAGACAGCTGGAGTTATCAAGGTACACAGTACACACACACACACACACACACACACACACACACATTGACCTGGGAAACATGGAGGAGACAGCTAGAGTTATCAAAGTACACAGTACACACAAACAAACACACACGCACACACACACACACACACACAACCTTTGACCTGGGAGATATGGAGGAGACAGCTAGGGTTATCAAGGTACACAGTACACACACACACACACATACACACGCATGACATCTTTGCGAGAATATATAAAAATAAGATAGGGTATATGGTGTTCATATTATTAAGGGAACACAGTTCCTTAATTTCCATATAAACTTTTTAACACATATACTGTGGTTTTTAAAAATACAATTTAACACAATGTTAAATATTCAAACATTCACCATGGGTAATGTAAAACTAATAGATGAACTTATGTACAGTGCACATATCAAATTAAGATACCTGTCAATCTATACTCTGTGAACAAGAACAAACTATATCATATCTTACATGTAACAAATTGAAACTTTTCTGCACACATCAATATCTGTGGTGCTGTCTTCTTTGAGGGAATATATATTAACATAAAGTGTTTATTAAAACTTTCTACATATATACAGTACTCTTGTAAATATAATTTAATACAATACTTCATATAAAAACATCCACCTTGAATAATATCAATATAATAAATAGACTTACATGCATATGCATGTTAAATTATCAAACTATACTCTGTGTGGGACAAAACTGAGAGTATAATATCTTGTATACATATTGATATCAATATAATAAATAGACATTATCAGAAGAATATATTTACATGAAACACATATTGACACTTTTTACATATATACGGTGCTTTTTACAAATATCCATTTTTGTTTGTGGGAATGAACTAAAGGAGTAATTTATAAGCTAGTTTAAATAGATGGGTATAATAACACAAGTTACCATAGCATACGGTAAAGTCTTGAAAATTTCGTCGTTCTTGAAAATTTCGTCGGCAGACTATTTTCCGCCGAGGTAATTATTTTCCCTTTGAAAACTTCGTCGACCTTGAAAATGAGGCACTCGATAATTTTTGAAAAGTTCGTCACCAAATATGGCCGCGTTGTTCAGCTCAAACATGAAGGTAATGCGTCAGTTGATTCAAGACAATGATACGATCAGGATATCATTGCCGATAACACTCTCAATAGGAGATAGGAACAATAGTGCGCCCCTGCGAGCTGTTACTCACAATATAGGTGGTTAAGATGTGTATTCCCGTTCTTAATTGCGGGAACGTCGGCCTTTTGTCTCATTTCTATTACCTGGCTCAAGGTGCGTTATCAAGCCGGCAAAAAGAAGTCACAGGCTGCAGCTTTGTCATTCGTAACGCCGTTATTGTTATCGGCGGCTGTCCTAAATGAGGAAGACATAATGAAAAAATCAAGATATTATCTCGAAGGGAAATGTACCCGTCACTTCTATTCATGTCCATGTTCAATTTAGGACCATTTAACGATTACCTGGCTCGTACATGGAGATCGTTCGCAATGCGAATGGGACAAGATGGCAATTTTCATATCTTCAGCGGAGAATCTTTCGCGTAATATCGTCCACAGATCGTTTGCGATCCAAACAAGACGAGAAGATAATTTTCATATTTGTAGCGGACTCCGTTCGCGTAAGATCATCAGCGGGAGATCGTTTACGATTCGAGAGAGACGAAAAGGCGATCTTCATATCTGCACCGGGAGATCGTTCGCGATGTAAGCGAGAATAAAATGCACTTTTCATATTAGTTCAAGGGAACTTCGTTCGTGAAAGATCGTCAGCAGGAGATCATTATTTTAACGCCCCTCCCCCTTTGAATTTTATAAATAACATATCTTTTTCATTTTATCTGTAACCCCCCCCTTCTCCCGCTCACGGCATATATTCAGCGGAGAATCGTTCGCGTAAGATCGTCAGAGGGAGATCGTTCGCGATCCGAGCGAGACGAAAAGGCAATTTTCATTTCATCATCGGGAGATCGTTCGCGATGTAAGCGAGAATAAAATGCACTTTTCATATTAGTTCAAGGGAACTTCGTTCGTGAAAGATCGTCAGCAGGAGATCATTATTTTAACGCCCCTCCCCCTTTGAATTTTATAAATAACA